GGCCATTGTTCCCCTCCCTCGCAAGTTGCAAGGCCGCTCAGACGATGCCTGGCTCGCTCCCTCCTCCCCTCCCGTTCCGCCCCCCCCTCTCCCAGGATGTCGGTGCTCGGCGGCGAGCCCAGGGGGGAAGTGAGGAGGGGCTGGCCTTCTCAGAAGGCCAGGAAGCCCCCCAGCCTTCTCAGAGGTATTCTAAGCCTGCCCCGAAGACACAGAGAACGTTTTCAGAAGGCGCGAGGGCTTCTGAGAAGCCCCGCCGCCTTCTGAGAAGGCCTTCTCCTTCTCACTTCCCTCCCTCGCTCGTCGTCGGCTCCTCCCCGCCCGTTCCGCCTCCCTCCTCCCGGGATGCCGCTGCGGAGGAGGTGGGAGGGGAGGAGCAGGCCCGCGAGCCCTCGAGCTGGCGCCCGGCGGAGCGGCGGCACGGGGGACCTTCCTCCTGCGCAAGTTAAGCCTCGGCACGAGCCCCCACGAGCTCGTGAAAGACGACGCCATGGCGTGGGGGACGATCTCCTGGAAGAGCAGTCCGGTGTAGCGGGCACCCTCGAGAATGGATCGGGTGAGTGAGGCGAGAGCCGCAGCAGCAGCAGCAGCGGCAGCAGCAGCAGCAGCAGCAGCAGCAACCAGCAGCAGCAGCAGCAGCAGCAGCAGCAGCACCTGAGGGGTGATAGGAGGAGCTCGACGAGGAGGAGGACGGCGGCGACGTCGAGGAGGGCGACGAGCAGCACAAAGAGGAGGAGGCGGAGAAGGAGGAGGAGTAGGAGGAGGAGGAGTGGGAGGAGGAGGAGGAGGAGGAGTCTGTACAGTAAGGTTAGTGTCGACCTCTACCTGGCGGGCGCCTATTCTCACTTCTATGCTTCCCTGGGTTCTTGTTCCCTCATTTTCCGCAGCGCCCGCCATGTACAGTGACCCGAGTCGGTTTTACCTGTTTTTTTCACTACCTGCAAGAACGCGACAAGCTCGTTCCTTTCGTTGGTCAAACGTAAAAAAGGAGGAGGAGAAGGAGGAGGAGGAGGAGGAGGAGGAGAAAGAGGAGGAGGAGGAGGAGGAGGAAAGAGGAGGAGGAGGCGTGAGGAGGAGGTGCGAGGAAGAGCGGACGAAGAGTTGCGGACGTCCGCAGCTCGGGGGGGCCAGTAGGAGGAGGAGGAGGAAGGAGGACGAGAGGAGGAGGAGAGAGGAGGAGGAGCACGAGGAGGGACGAGGAGACTGAGGAGGAGGAGGAGGAGGAGGAGCAAGCGGGCCTGCTCCTACGTTGCCGTCGCGGAGAAGGCCGCGGGCAGCGGGCGGCGACGGGCGCGCGCACGGACCCGCCCGCCACTTGCCACACAAGCGTGCAAGGAGTTCAGACATCCGCCCCTGGAGCGAGGAGGAGGAGGAGGAGGAGGAGGAGGAGGAGGAGGAGGAGGAGGAGGAGGAGGGGAGGAGGAGGGAGGAGGAGGGAGGAGGAGGGAGGAGGAGGAGGAGGAGGAGGAGGAGGAGGAGGAGGAGGAGGAGGAGGAGGAGGAGGGAGGAGGAGGAGGAGGGCACCCTCGTGTTCTTCGTGTTTGTTGGGTGTTCTTGTGCGTCCTGGGCAGAGGGCCCTCCAATGCTCCGTGGCCGGCAGAGGGTCTCGTGTTCTTGAAGGCTGTTCTTCTGGCCTGGGTCCGACGGCACTGTCTCTTTCCATCCGCGGCCCTGGAGGTCCCGACCGCTTCCCCTGGTCGGGTGCTGCTAGAAGTGCCCCAGGCCCGGGGTGCCCCCCCCAGGATTTCCAGGGACATGGCATCGCGCGGACGTGTGCATTCTTTTTCCTTGGCGGGGACCATCGAGGAGCATCCTCGATCATCGCCCGAAAAAGAAGCGCCCGAAGCCGAAACATGCAGCGGGAAGGGACGCCCGAGCGATGGCGAGAGGAGGCCCCCACGGCCCCCAGAGCACCCCTCACGTCATCGAGAACAAAAGCACCCCTAACCCGAATAACACGATGAAGACGTGGCCTCACTTAGGTCCCCGCCTTCGCACCAGGGATGATAGACCCGGGCGCCTTGGTCTGCTACATCTGCAGGAAAAAGCAATACCCCTTATCCCTAATGTTTTCGCCCCTCCTAACCCAGGTCCCCTCCCAAGAAGTTAGGGGTCCTTCCCTGGCTAATCATCACGAGGTCCAGAGGGCCCCAGGGGCCCCAGAAGACTGCGCGAAAAGCTGGGGGGGGCACCCGGGGCGGCCGGGGGCACCTCGTGGGCAACCCCCGCCTTGGGGTCTTGCGTCCCTGGCTAATGCCAGGAGGGAAAAAACACACAGGCACAATGAATCGTCGATTTCCCAGAAAATATGGGAAAATATGGGAAGTGGGGGGGAAGACAGAAACCCAGAAAATAAGGGAAAATATTGGGAGTCCGGTTATTTATGTGTATTTATTTGTGTGTCCTAGGGCCCCTTCATAATGCCTTATGCCTTGGCATCGCTCGGACCTTTCCCCCTTGCATCGCCGAGGACCATCGAGGAGCATCTCTGTTCACTTTGCGAAAGATTCGCACGGCGCCGAAACGTGCACAGGGAATGGATGTCCGAGCGATGTCGGAAGTGCGCCCCAAACTGTGCGCGCGAGTAAGGCGGAGATGTCTGCCTCGGCAAGGTAGGGGCGGACAGCTCCGCCAAAGTGTGGCGGAAACAGCGACGGCAAACTCGGGCAGATCGCCTTCAAGGGTGCTTGAAAAGTCGGGTGGGCGCGGCAGAAACCCGCGGCGAGGAGAGGAGGAGGAGGAGGAGGAGGACGAGGAGGAGGAGGACGATGAGGAGGAGGAGGAGGAGGAGGAGGAGGAGGAAGGTGACGTGGGGCGCTGTCTCTTCGAAACGAGGACCCAAATCCACAGCATGGTGGGGAACGAAGGGGCGACGCCGAACAATGGGGTCGCCTGCACCGACGCTGGCAGGCAAGTGTCCCGCCGCGTAAGTCCGCGCGTCAGCGCCCTCGGTTCCCCACGCGGTGTGCCACGCTGGCGGCCCGCGTAAGCCGCGGCGTGAGGTCGCTGTGCCATCTCGCGCAAGACCCGCTTCTCCCGGCGGAGCTGGGTGAAATGCCGAGCCCTCCGATGACTGAGAGGCTCGGCTGAGCTGCACTGAGCCGGCTGAACTGGACGGGCATTTTTGACAACACATTTGAGGCCGCCAAGGCGCACCCGCAACGGCAACCACGCAACACATTTCAACCCGCCCGCGGGCGCAACTGCAACCGCAACCAGGCAACACATTTCAACCCATCCGCGGGCGCAAACGCAGCCGCATCCGCAACCGCAGCCAGGCGACACATTTCAACCTTCCCGCGGGCACAGCCGCATCCGCAAGCGCAACCAGGCGACACATTTCAACCCGCCCGCGGGCGGAACCGCAATCTCAATCAAGCGGCACATTTCAACCCGCCCGCGGGCGCAACCGCAACCGTCACCGCAACAAGGCGACACATTTCAACCTGCCTGCTGGCGCAACCGCAACCGCAACCAGACGACACATTTCAACCCGCCCGCAGGCGCAACCGCAACCGCAACCGCAATCACAGCCGCAATCAGGCGACACATTTCAACTTGCCCGCGGGCGCAACCGCCCGAGGAGCAGGAGGTGTATGAGCACGAGGAAGAGGAGGATGAGGGAGAGGACCAGGAGGAAGAGAGGGAGCGGGAAGAGGAGAATGGGCAGGTGGTGGAGGAATCGCAATGGCACGATCGGAAGATAGAGGGCCTGGAGGATGAGAAGGAGGAGGAGGCCGAGTCTCTGCTGGGACGTTGCAGCAGGCAACCCCATTCCACGCTGCTGCCTCTGATCGATCCTCGCCCACCTTGGCTGCCTCGATACGCCCCTTTTGAGACGCAACACGTACTGTGCTCACAGCGGCCGTGTCAATACGTCGCGTGCTGCCTCAGCGCACTGGCCCACGTCTTGGCGAACGCATCGCGCCAGGCCTGCGTGTTCAGGACATGTGCTGAGCTCCGTCCCCACACGCTGCGTGTTGCGTGTGGCGCATCGGGGCAGCTCATTCGCCCACGCACCCTCCCGCGCAGCAGGAGGAGGAGGAGGAGGAGGAGGAGGAGCAGGAGCAGGAGGAGGAGGAGGAGGAGGAGGAGGAGGACGATTGGAAGGAGGAGGAGGGAGGAGGAGGAGGAGGAAGAGGAGGAGGAGGAAGAGTGAGGAGGGAGGAGGAGAGGAGGAGGAGGAGGAGGAGGAGGAGGAGGCCTCTCGAAGTCGACCTCGGTGCAGCGACGGCCCCTCCTGGAGAAGGGCACGGCCGAAGGCCGCGCGCCCTGCAGCGCGCCCGCCCGCGGGAGCCCGCCGCCCCCCGGGCGGCCCCGCAGGTCGGGGACCCGTCAGCGGCCGCCGCGGGCTTCGTCGGCAGCCTGCTGGCGCGCAGGGCAAGCAGCCGGCCGTCCGTGGCGGAGGACCTGGGGGGAGGAGGAGGAGGAGGAGGAGGAGGAGGAGGAGGAGGAGGAGGAGGAGGAGGAGGAGGAGGAGGAGGAGGAGGAGGAGGAGGAGGGAGAGGAGGCGGGGGGGGGGGAGGAGGAGGAGGAGGAGGAGGCGGAGGACAGAGGAGGAGGACGAGGAGGAGGAGGAGGAGGAGGAGGAGGAGGAGGACCAGTGTAAACTCACGACTCATCGACGATGTTGGAATAAGCCCTCCCCCCAAGCTCCCTCTTCATAGGCCCCTGTGAGGGCTCAATTCCGCTGAGGGAGCTGCCTCGTTGGGAGACAGCCGTTTGAGGACCCTGAAGCGTGCCAAAACACCGTTCTGGGGACTGCAACGCTACGGATCAATCGTCTTGACGATCCTGAATCGTGCCAGAATGCCATTCTTGGGACTTCAACTCCGCGAACCAACGTAACTGTTGCACCCTCACAACCCTGAGTCCTTCCAAAACACCATTTCTGGTACGCTGGCCATGGGAATCCGTGAAGCTCTTGCACATTGTTGAAACGAATGTGCGCGGCGCTGAGGCGAGAGCCACATGATGAAAACCAACCGCCCTCAATACGCGAAGCTCTTGCAAGTTTTTTGTTCAAAAAACGAATATGCGCGGCGCTAAGGTGAGAGAAGCCAACCGTCCTCAGTCCGCTAAGCCCTGGCAATTCTTTAAAACGAATGTGCGCGGCGCTAAGGCCAAAGCCACATTATCAAAATAAACAAACCGCCCTCAATGTCAAAACTCTGGCAATTGTTTAAGACGAATGTGCGCGGCGCTAAGGCGAGAGCCACATTCTGGAAGCGGCCCGCCATCCATATGCGAAACTGTTGCCAATGTTTTAGCTTCAGGGTCATAAGTGGTGGGGAAGTCTCAGGCGAAACACCTGGCCCACCCTTTCGACCAGCCTCGGGGTGCGACAGGGAGGAGTTATTTGTAAGGAGAAGGGTTTGGGGAGGATGAGGAGGAGGAGGAGGAGGACGATTGGAAGGAGGAGGAGGAGGAAGAGGAGGAGGAGGAAGAGGAGGAGGGAGGAGGAGGAGGAGGAGGAGGAGGAGGGAGGATGAGGAGGAGGAGGAGGAGGGAGGATGATGCGGAGGAGGAGGAGGAGGGGACTTCCTGACTTCCCTCCTACTCCTCTCCGCTTCACTCCCATCCGGATTGGGAGCGTCTCCATGTAGCCGTCGCGCCTTGGGGCGCGTGGCAAGCGTGGGGGCGTTTGGGTGACGCGTCAGCGCTTAACACGAGGTTAACGGCTGTCAGCACTTCAGTAAGCGAAGACCCTATGTTTTGAGTAGGGGATCGATTGTAAACGGAATTTACCCCACAATTGTACATGTTCGTCGGATCTGCAAAAAGAAACGTAGCAGGTTCGCAACTCGACGAACATTGAACGTAACTTGGTTGCAGATTCGACGAACAGATCACAAAAACAAACCAGCAAAAATGCTGTCAATCAATTATGGATTCGACCCCTTACTCGAATTCGAAGCCGGTGGAGCCTAGTCAGGGCCAGGAGCAGAGGAGCAAGAGGGGAGCAATAGACGCAACGATCGTTCGATCCATGTCTTGGCAGAAAGGAGTGTTTACATTTTCGCAGGCAAGGAGGAGGCGGAGGAGGAGGAGGAGGAGAAGGAGGAGGAGGAAGAGGACAGATGAGGACAGAGGAGGAGGGGGCGGAAGGACAGAGGAGGAGGAGGAGGAGGAGGAGAAGGAGGAGGACAGAGACGAGGGGAGGGGGCGAAGCGACAGGAGGAGGGGAGGAGGAGGAGAAGGAGGAGGAGGAGGAGGCGGAGGAGGAGAGGAGAAGGAGGAGGAGCAGGAGCAGGGAGCAGAGGAGGAGGAGGAGGAGGAGGAGGAGGGACGAGGAGGAGGAGGAGGGGGAGGCGGGGGAGGAAGGACAGAGGAGGAGAGGAGGAAGAGGAGGAGGAGGAGGAGGAGGAGGATGGAGGAGGAGGATGAGGAGGAGGAGGAGGAGGAGGAGGAGGAGGAGGAGGCGGAGGAGGAGGAGAGGAGGAGGAGGGGACTTCGGATCCACCGTATTTCGGCGGGGGGGGGGGGGGACAAATTCGAGGTTCGTTGTTTTCGGGCGTTTTCGTCTGTTCTCTGTGGCTTTCCAGCCTCGGGATGCCTTCCAGCAGGTGCGCCTCGCCGGGGGGCGTTCTCGCAGGTGCCCCGATCGCTCCGCACCCCAGGGCGGCCCGCGCGCCCCCCCACCCGACTGCCACCGCGACGGCCGTGCCCCGCCGCGCGCATTGAGAGGGGCCCCCCCGCGGAAGCGGCCATGGGGGCGGCTGGCCGGCCCGCAGCCTGCGCCGCTGGCCCCCTGGCAGGATCCCGAGCGGCCGCGCGCCCTGAGAGGGGGCCCGCTCGGGGGCATGCCCGGGGAAGCGGTCACGGGGACAGCTGCGCGCCCCAACACTCCCCACACGGCGGACCTTGCTCCCCCTCCTGTGCCCTCCCTCCCCGCTGCCTCTCCCCTCGTGAGGGGAGCCGGTGTCCCCTGCCCCCCGCGGCCCCTCCCCGCCCTCGCGGCCTCCTGCCCTGCGAGCGCCACGACCTCCGCCCTGCCCGGCGGCCGCCGCGACGGCCCTGCTTAGAGGCCCCCACGGCGGCCAGCGCCCCGAGTGGCCGCACGCCCTGCCAGGGAGCCCGCAGGGGGCAGGCACACGCAGGGCAGCGGCCGCAGGGGCCGCTGGCAGGCCCAGGGCTGGCGCCGACAACCACTCGACGGGCTCCGAGTCCCGCGCGGCCGCATGCCCGGAGAGGGGGGCCCGCGGAGGGCATGCCCGGGGAAGCGGCCACAGGGACTGCCAACGACGCCCCTCGGGACCCCCCCCCGCCCGACCCACGCAACGGCCCCGCGACCGCCCACTGGACCCGTGCGACGGCCTCCCTCGGCTGCGTGGACAGCGCTTCCCTCGCGGGCTGCTGGGCGGACGACAGGACAACCGACCCAACGACCCCCTTGCCACGCAACCCCGCGACGGCCCCCCACAACGCCCTCTACGACGGCCTCTGTGCGTCGACCTCGGCGACGGCGACCCCTGCGACAGACCCCCGCGATGACCCCGCGGCGGCGACGGCCAAGGCGGGCACGAAGATGGCAATGACTACCAAGACAGCCTCCGCGCTTGCCCCCACGACGGCCTCGCCAACAGCCCGCGCGACAGCCTCGCGGACACCCCACGCGAGCAGGACTACGAAGACAGCGCTGCCCCGTCAGGGGAGATAAGCTCCGAGGAGGACGATGACGCCACCTGGGGCGACTTCGTCTACTGATGACCATCTCCCCCTCCCCGCGCCGCTGCAACGCTACGCCGCGACCCCCCGCGCCCCCCTTCACCGCGCCCCCCCCCCGCGGCCCCGCGAAGGCCACCGCGACCCCCGTGCCCTGACCGACGGCCCCTGCGCCCCCCGCCCGACGGCCCTCGCGACGAAGGAGGCAGTGGGCCGCCACTTGTACCTGTCGCTGGCCGGAGGCATTGGGGCCGTGAGCCGCCTCGCCCAGCTTTCTCCTCCCTTCCGCCGCCCCCTTCCCCCTTGACTGGCCCGCCCACTTCCCGCCCGCGCTGACGTGCGCCTCCTCGCTCTTGTGGCGGCGGGGACGGCTGGGTGCATCACGGTGGGGGCCGGGAGGGAACTCTCGCCGACGGCCGCCTTGGCAGGGGCCAGAGGGGCCGCGGCCAACCGCCGCGCGCTGCACGGCAGACAGCCCCCCCATGTCGACCTTCGCCCTCTCTCCCCCGTGCCTGGCCCACCGCGCTCGGAAGCGCAGCACCGACCGCCCGCGCTCGTGGACCCAGCGACGCAGGGCTGGTGGTGCCGAACCCGAAAAGCAGCCGCGAAGAAGCGCCGAAACGGGACGGAGGTTGGGGGAGGAGGAGGAGGAGGAGGAGGAGGAGGAGGAGGAGGAGGAGGAGGAGGAGGAGGAGGAGGAAGAGGAAGAGGAGGAGGAGGAGGAGGAGAGGGAGGAGGAGGAGGAGGGAGGGAAAACGGAGGAGGAAACGGAGGAGGAGGAGGAGGGGGAGGGGGGAGGAGGAGGATCGCACGCCACTGAGGGGAAAGGGGGGGAAGAGGGTCAACGGTCCAAAGCATCCAGGGGGGCCCTTCGAAGTGGACATTTTTGTCACCCTGGCAGGAAAGACACCGACCTGCCAGGGGCCAACGATGGGGCCCCGGTTCCCTTGGAGGGCCCTGGCCGCGCATGGCCGCCAGCCTGGAGCCTGGCAGCTCCCCCCACTTCCGGTGGGACCCCCCCAGGCGGCCCACGGGCCAACGTTCTGGGAGCCCTCTGCCTGGCTTTCAGGCGAGGGTTCCCGTCGTTGGTCTGGGGGGGGGGGGTCTTATGCGCAGGGGGAGGGGTCTGGCGGGTGTGGACCCCTGCCGCCGCCGTCGCAGCCTCTCATTCTCTCCTCCCTCGAGGTTAGGATCGGTAGCCTCCCCCTGCTCTCGCTACCGTCTGTTGCTGTGTTGTCCCTGCACATTCTGCCTCCCACGGCCGACTCCTGGAGCGAGCGCTCCAGGAGGAGGAGGAGGAGGAGGAGGAGGAGGTGGAGGAGGAGGAGGAGGAGGGGGAGGTCGCCTGACCCCCCGGTTGATCAACCCCCGACGGCCGACCGGACCTGGGGAAGGGGGAGCAGCATCCGCGGGGATCCCATGCGTTCAGGGATCAGGGATCGGGAGGAGGAGGAGGAGGAGGAAGAGGAGGAGGAGGAGGAGGAGGGAGGAATGAGGAGGAGGAGGAGGAGGAGGAGGAGGAGGAGGAGGAGGATGGAGGATTGTGGATGACGAGGAGAACCAACAGCTCCCAGATCTCCGAGCTCCCTCCTCGCTCCTCCCTCCGCCCTGCGCCGGGGGACAGAGGGTGGGCGGCCGCAGAGGCACCGCTGGGAGGGGTGCGCGCCCACAGACCCCCTCGAGTCATGAATCAATCGCGTGGTCCCCGCGGGATCCTCGAGCCTCGAGCCTCGATCCTCGATCCCAGACCCCCTCGAGTCATGGCAAAAGTCACGACGCACAATGCTTTGCACCATTCTCGGCTTCTGGGGGCCCTGGCCGGCCTTCGGGACCGTCGAAGGGCGACTCGGGACGAAAGGCGTGTCCGAGGGAATGGGTCGACGAGACTTTTGGGGGTCGACGTGATGAAAAATTCATGACCTCGGGGGTCTGCAGACTGCCCCCGCGCTCCCCGAGGCCCTGTCGCACCCCTTCCTGCAGCCGAAGCCGGCCACGCCGGCCGCCACGACCAGGACCTCTTTTCTCGGGAGCCCTGATCGGAGGCGATGATAAGGGCGAGTAGCCCAGGGGGGAGGAATACACGCATTCGCCTAGGAGCCTCGCCGGATGCATCAACCATCGGCGTCCTTGGATACATATATTCATACACCCTGGGCAATTTGCCCTCGTCGTCGCCCCCGATTTGAGACGGGGGTCATGTCAAACGGGGGTCAGTCAGAGTGGCGGATCTTGCAGAGTCTTCCAGAGCCAGGGGTGCACTGACCTGGGCTTGCGCGCAGGATCCCGCAGGATCTTGCAGGACCCTGCAAAGCCTGACTGGCCCGTTTTGCATTGATCTGGGCCAGTGCTTCCTCGAGTTTCGCACGCCGCTCCTTGAATCCCCGACGTTGTGTTTCTTGGTCGATGCCCGGCACTTTCTCTCGATTTCGGCCTTTGGGGCCCGGGGGGCCTCGAGAAGCGGACGCGGGGTGCAGAGCCACTTCCGTGGAAGGGGGCGGGACCCCCGGGGCCGCAGATTTGCACACATCAGATGGGCGGGTGTCAGGGCATGGGGCCCTCCTTCTCCTCCCTTCACTGCCAGCCTCGCCGTCGTCGTCATCCTCCTCCTCCTCCTCCGCCGCCTCCTCCTCCTCCTCCTCTTCCCTCCTCCTCCTCTTCCCTCCTCCCTCCTCCTCCTCCTCCTCCTCCTCCGCCTCCTCCTCCTCCTCCTCATCCTCCTCCTTCCCCGGGTCCTGCCTCTTCAGAGGCAGGCCAACCCGTGCTCCGTAGTCCCCCTCCTCCTCCCTGCTCCGCTCCTCCAGCGTACTCCGGAGCCACCTGCTCGCCGTTGTCCACGTCTCCCCCTCGGCACCCGTGGAGGCCGGCCGCTCCGCGTCCTGCTGCCGCTGCCAGCCCCGCCCCCTGCACCCGCTGCCGCTGCTGCTGCTGCTTCCAGTGCTTTTGTTCCTCGCACGCACGCGCGCACGCACGCTGAAGGCGTGTGAGGTCTGCTGCCTCTTCCACAGGAGTTGGGGGGAAGGAGAGGCGATGAGGAACCCTAGAACACCGACGCAGGACAGGCCCGAGACCCCTCCTCCTCCTCCTCCTCCTCCTCCTCCTCCTCCTCCTCCTCCTCCTCCTCATCCTCCCCCTCCTTATCCTACTCCTCCTCCCCCTCCTCCTCCTCCGCGACTTCAAGCTGTTCGTACTATGAGGGCCATCTCTGTGGCCTCCAGCACAGCTTACGCACCCGCCTTCGAAGCCACGCGCACCTCCTCCTCCTCCTCCTCCTCCTCCTCCTCCTCCTCCTCCTCCTCCTCCTCCTCCTTCTCGGTGCCCCAGGGCCTCGGGTCCGAGGAGGGCCCCGGGGCGGCGGACCGCGAGCGGGCGACGCACCGCGGGCCGCGCCGCGCGCGCCCGCGCCCGCGCCCGCCGCCGCGGCGGGCCGGGCGCCCGCGGCCGCCTAGCGCCGCTGCTGCTCCCCACCTGCTTCCGCCGCTCCTCCTCGGCGCTCCTCCTCGGCGTTCCTCCTCCTCGGCCTCGCCTCTCCTCCTCGGCGCGCCTCCTCGGCGCCCCTTCCCCTCCTCGTGCTAGTGTTGTCCTCGTGCTGTCCTCGTGCTGTCCTCGTGCTGTCCTCGCGCCTGTGCTGTCCTCGTGCTGTCCTAGTGCTGTCCTCGTGCGTCCTCGCGCAGCAGCGCTGTTCACGCGCTGGTGCCGTCGTCGTGCTAGGCCGCCGGTTCCAGGCCCAGGGGTGTGAGCCACCAGACCCCTGCGTTAGGCGCGCTGGCTGGCCCGACGACCATCTCAGGCAGCGCTGATGAGCGTGCGCGCCACCTCCCGGACCACGCAGGTGGCGATGGACCGGTGGAGAGTGCTGAGAGTCTCCAGTCGCCCAGGGCCCTCAGGCACTTGCTGCGCGAGCCATGTCCGGGTGGACTCGCCCATGGCTCCCGACACTTCGAAGCCGAGGGGTTGGAAACCAGCGATTCCGTTGTATTTGCGGCGCTTGGCCTGTTCGGCCAGTCTCGCAGCGGTGCCTTGGGTGTGGGCCCCGCCAGCCTGCAGGCTCTGCTGCGAGGCGGGATGCACGATCGTTAAGTCCAGATAAGCCCACTGGCCGTCACTGTCGGTGCACCTGAGGTCCGCGCGGAGACCTGGATTGCCCGGGCTGGTGGGCGGGCGAATCCATGGCTCGACCGCGATGTCGCAAATGCCGGCTTCACGTAGGGCTCGCGCGATGGTGTCGGGCAGGTTGTTGTGCCTCTTAACCATGAAGCCGCCATAGGAGCAGCAAAGCGCGTGGCGTCCGTTAGCGTCGACGGCACCCGCGCAGAGGGTTCCGTCCTCCTTTCTGAAGGGGCAGGGGCCGTCAGCTGCGCGTACGAGACCTCCGAGTCTGTGTCTCACGGCCATCCTGAAGTGGGCGTCAGCGAGGTGGTGGTCGGGCCGCGTGGGCGACCCGAGCCACGCGCCTGCCCCCTTGCCTGTCGCGCTAAGAGCCCAGGCCCGCTGATGCGGTTCCGTCTGGGTGCGTCGCAGCCACTGCGTCCACTCTGCGTGCCGCCTGTGCCTGGTAAAGCGCCGCTGGGTGGTGTCGGGCGGCTCCGTGTCGGGCGCCTGCTGTGCTGCCTCTTCCTGAGTCAGCGCGTTGACAGTGCTCTGGAGGCGGTGGAGCGCCGGTCTCAAGCCCGGGCAGTAGTGGAGAAGGTCATCTCTGTCGCGGAGGCCCAGTCGCTGGAGCACTGGCTTCTCGCAGAGCGCCCACGAGGCCGCTTGGGCATCCAGGCGCGCTGCGCTCGCGCTCTGGAATCCCAAGCCGCCCAAAGCGACAGGGTGCCAGTATTTCTCTTTCTGCTCCGCTGTGAGGTCGTGCGTTTGTACTAGCTCCTCCAGTGTGCTGAGCAGGTCGGCGTCGAGCTGTGTCGCCGTTTGGGCGGGAACCCCGGTGGTGCGCATGTACCAAGTCATGTCTCCTGCAGTGAGGGTTCGTAGAAGTACCAAAGACGTCTGAACGTCTAGGCCGGCTTTGTGAAGGTCCATGAGTCTGGCCATGGCAGTCGTCCTCCTGGTTCGTTGGCGTTGTAGTCGCGGCGAGGCGGGTGAGTGCAGGCTGCCCTCCTCGGCGTGCTGGTCGGCGGTTACCGGCGTCGGTGCCAGGCCGGAGTAGTCGTCGGCGTGTTGTCGTAAGATGGTGGGCTGCTCTACTCGCGGCACGGGTAGGCCCGCTGGTATCGCGGCAGGATTCCTCGCCCACACCTCACATTTGTCGACGCGTGTTTGGAGGCCGGCTTGGCTGAGTGCGTTGGTGTATGCTGCGTATATGGTGGGCAGGTCTTCAGGCTTCGCAAGGATGGTGAGGTCGTCGATGTAGCCGAAGAGCTCGTGCTGTATACCTGCTGCGTCGAGTTGGTGTTTGGCCCTCTCGAGGGCTCGGTCGAGTCCGAGGCAGAAGAGCGTGGTGGCCATGCCGCACCCCTGGAAGATCCCCGTCGTTTGGTTCCAAATGTGTCTTCTGCCCCCGGTGTCGTGGTAGACTACCTGCCCGGCGTCCGGCAGGAAGCCTCTTGCCCATCGGCGGAGTTTTGGGCAGTGAGTATCGATACCTTCGTTGATGTACACCCTGCTCAGGTTCTGGAAGGCGTCTGCAGCGCCCAGAGAGAGCACGGCGTAGTCCGGGCGGACGTGGAGGGCAGTGGACACGTGCTTGTAGACCAGTTCCGCCCCAGCCGCGTGCTTGTACCCGTACTGCTTGCCGCGAAGCCCCTCGGCGACCTCGTCCGCCGCCATTTTGTTGACCGCCTTGGACGCGAGACGGCGGAGCGGGCTGGCGAGGTTGATGGGGCGGATTCGGGTGAGGCTCTTGGTGAGCGGGAGGAGGCGGGCGGCCGTCGCCAGTTCCTGCACTTCCTGCGGGGGGGTGCCGCGGGCTAGTGCTGCGGCCACTGTGGCCAGGGCACACAGAGCGGACAGGTCAGTTTGGACGAGTTGGAAGTGCTCGTACCGCCACCCGTCGGGCCCAGCTGCGCTTCGTTTTGGTGCGGCCCGCAAGGCTTTGGCGAAGTGTAGCTCGAACTGTTGCTGCTCGTCGTCCTGTTCGTCGTAGGCTGCTGGTGGCTGTGGTTGATGGTGTGGGAAGAGCTGCGGTGCGGCTTGCAGGGTCAGCTGGTCTCCGGCAATTTCGAGTGCTTCGCGGAGGACTCTCGTAGCTTTGCCCACGGTGCCTGCCTCCACGAGTTTGCGCGCTGTCATAACGTCGTGCTCTGCGGTAGTCTTCCGCCTGGCGCGCAAAGGAGGTGGGGCGGAATCAAGGACGGCGCCCCAAAGCTGCGCTTCGCGGTGCTCCCTGATCTCCGTGGCCCGGCGGAACAGCGTAGTGGTGAGCTGAGCGTTGCCTCTCTTGCCGCCTCGGAGGTTGGCGTGCCCGAGCAGCAGCTTAGGGAGCATGAACCAACGCTTGGCCGCCTTGGTGATGGACTCCGGGGTGCCGTGGTGGATCTCGTGGGCGAAAGCCTTCGTGTGCTCCGTTATGATGGCGCCCACCACCCCGCGAGCGTGCGGCGGTATATGGGCGGCCGTGGGCACTGGTTGTTGGACCATTTCTGGCGTGATGGCGTCCGCCCATTCGGCGTTGGCGTCGCTGCTGGCGTGCCTGGCCGTGTCGAGTTGGAGTTGCGCGTCGTCTGGCGCACGCGGCGCCGGCGCGGTGACGACGGCAGCCCATTTGTGTTCAACTTCTCTTTTGAGTGCAAAAGGAAGGTCGTCGGCCAGTTCCAGGGCAGCGTTGCTGGTCTGGGCGCAGACAAGAGCGCACTCCAAGCAGGCGACGGGGCTCTGCGGCGCAATGCTTGTGCGACAGCGGATCACCTGCGGCGGTATAATGGAAGTACACATCGCGCACGTAGCTGCTCTGCCCGTCCGGGGGAGCGTGGCGTACCACGTCGCGGCGTCCTCTCGTGGCCGTCGTCGCGACCGTTGCCCGGCAGCGTCGTCTGGTAGGGCGCCGTGCCCAGCGGCAGCAGCAGTGCCAGAGCGGGAGGATTCGCCAGTTCGTTGCGCCCGAATCCGCCCGTGTTTTGCCTCGAGGAGCCCGTCGTCGGTCGGCGCATTCGTGTCCATATCGTCCGCTGTGGCGGCCGCGGCCGCGCCAGGGCCTTCCCCGGGGTACCCCAGCGTGCAGTCGAAGCCCAGCTCGCCCCACGTCGCGGCCATTGCAGCTGGCGCCATCCCGTAAGCTTGGTTCCTCTTGGCCAGGTTTTCGAGCTGCGTCCAGCCGTGGTGACGAGGAGCCCGAGGCGTGGTGCTAACGCTAACCCTCTGCAGATTTCGCTCGTGGTCCACGGGGGCCTCAAATTCGCGCCCTCCCCGCCATTTCTCCTTGATCTTCCTGGCAGTTCCTGTGCCCCCGCACTGATGTCTCCTCGGACGAGCCCGCCCACTGCTATGCCGTCGTTCGCTCTATTTCGATCGCCGAACGCACGTGGGTCGGTCCCCCAGGGTGGGCGCTGTGCCCGTTGATGAGCGAGCCCCGTGTTCTCGGCCTCCCAGAAGCGTTTGCTGAACAGGCTGTCAGCGACCATGCTGCGCAGATCGCCATGGCTCCCCCAGCGCAAGCCCAAGCCGACGGACCCCAGCGCCTCCCGAGGCGCAGCACCCCGGCGGCCGTCTGGCACCACGTCCCAGGCCCCAACGCCGACGGCGTAAACTTCGTCTGCGCGGGCGCCTGCAAAGACGAGGACACCAACCTCCCGTCGCCCCACCCTGCGGCCAGCAAGGCCACGGCTGTTGAGCCCGACACATCTGCCAGGGTTCAGCCGACGCAGCCAGCCAAACAGAGATCGGGCCCACGCCGCGCCGCACCGGTGAGAGTCGAGAGGCCACCTCACCACGCCCAAGCTTGAGCGTCACGCTGAGCCGACCGGATGCGCCGCGAGTGAAACTCCGGCCACCAGCGGCACTGGCCTGGCCCCCTCTTCTGCTGCCTCCCCCAGCCGTGCCGCTTCGGCCAGACACACCTCAGCCGGTCGTCAGGGACCAGCGGCTATGGCCGCCGTCGCCCCGAAGACCGAACCAGCGCCCACTCGAGGCACCGACCGCCGCGCCGACATTGCCGCCCACCTAGGCAGCAGGGCCGCCGACGCCCGCCGGGCTTATGCTCCGCGTCCTGCCCATGGCCGAGCCGCTGAGCTTCAGGCGTCCTACCACCACCTCTGCCACCAGCACAGCGCGCTGTCGTGCCAGGTTCGCGCCTGAACCTCCCAGCAGGGCCAGCTGATGCAACGCCTGCGCAGCGCTCAGACTGCCCTCGCCTCCCTCCGTCCCTCCCTTTCGCCCGACGGGGCGTTGCCCGTCCCAACTCTGCATGACCTCATAGGGTTCCGTACTCGGCCGAAGGCCCCTTTTTTCTCACCAGCCCGATTGCCCGCGCGGCCATGCGTCATCGGGGCCTCGTTGCGGCGGCGGGGCACGCCCCGTTGTTTGCACGCCGCTCAGCGGTCAAGCCCTTGTCCCCCGGCCGCCAACCAGGGCTTCTTCGACTTGGGCCTTTTCCCATGCGGGGCGCGCGTAGAGACATGGCGTATCGCCTGCTTACCGCCCTGTCCCTTTACCTCAGTCGCTTCGCGCTGGGGGCGGTTGTTTCAACATCCCCTGTTTCCCAAGGTGTGCACCACCGCCAAGTGTGCGTGTGCGCCCTATGCTACCGCAGTAGCTGGGCGCCAGCGGACCGTCCGCTTGCTTGTCCGGTCCCTCTCTCTCTCTCTCTTTCTCTCCTCTCCCCCCTTGCCTGGATCGCTGGCCAGCCCCCTGGCCGCCGCAGGGAGCCTTCCCTGGTGCCAGTGATCCACCGCGCCCGCATGACGACGCTGCAGTTCGAGGCCCAGGCGGGCCGACATCCCCTGCGGGGGGGGGGGAGGGGGGACATGGGGAGGTAGGAGGAGGGAGGGAGAAGGGAGGAGGGGGATGGAGAGGAGGAGGATGGAGGAGGAGGAGGCTAGGAGGAGGAGGAGGAGGAAGAGGATGAAGGAGGGGGATGAGGAAGGAAAATGGGGGGCGGGGGGCCGCCCACGCGTGAGGTGGAGGAGGGATGAAGAATGAGGAGGAGAAAGATGAGGTGGAGGACGCGAGAGGAGGAGGACGAGGAGGAGAAGGAGGAGGAGGCAGGAAGGGGCCACACGAACACGAGGAGGAGGAGGGGAGGAGGAGGAGGAGGAGGACGGGATGAGACGGGAGCTTGGAAAAGAAACAGGGGAGGGAAGATGGGGGGTCGATGGGGGAGGGGACGAAAGGGGGATGGGGAGGACGGGGGATGGGGAGGACGGGGGATGGAGGGGGAGGAGGGGAGAGGGAGGAGGTTGAGGGATGGAGGAGAGGTCGTGGAGGAGGAGGAGGAGGAGGAGGAGGAGGAGGAGGAGGAGGAGGAGGAGAGGAGGAGGAGGAGGAGGAGGCAGGAGGAGGAGGAGTAGGAGTGAGGTAAGGAAGGAAGAGGAGGAGGAGGCGGAGGGGCGAGGGGAGGAGGAGGAGGAGGAGTGAGGAGGGGGGGATGAGGATCGAGAAGGAAGAGAGAGGCAGAGGACAACATGACGAGGATGAGGAGGAAGACCAGTGTAAACCAAAAAGGCGCATCAGCGATTATTGCAATAAGGCCCTCCCTTCAAGCTTCCTCTTATTCACGGCCCCTGCGAGGGGGGTGACTTTTGTTTTTTTTTCCATTTCCACTGAAGGAAGTGCCCCGTTGGATGACAATCCTGTGATAATCCTGAACTGTGCCCGAACACCATTCCAGGGACTTCAGCGTCGCGAATCACCGTTAGTGTTGTGTCTTCACGATCGTGCATCGTGCCAGAACACTATTCCTGGGACTTCCACCACAAATAATCGCCACTGTTGCGCCCTTACAGACATTATGTTTTGGGACGTTAGCCATGAAACCGTTGCAAGCTCTTATAACGAATGTTCGCGGCGCTAAGACGAGCCACATTTCGAAAACGAACCTGCCTCCATCCGTGAAGCTCTTTTTAATTTGTATTGACGAGTTGCGTGGTGTAGTGCGACAGCCACATGTTGAAACCGGCCCGCCCTCCATCCGTGAAACTCTTACATGTGTTTCTGACGAATGTGCGCGGCGCTCAGGCGAGAGCCACATGTTGCAAACCACATGTCCTCAATCCATGAAGCTCTGGCAATGTTTCAAGACGGATGTGCGCGGTGCCAAGGTCAGAGCCACATTTTGAAAGCGGCCCGCCCTCCATCCGTAAAGTTGTGGCAAAGTTCTAGCTTCAGTCAGCATCACAACTGGCGAGTGTGTCTCAGGCGAAACGCCTGGCCCGCCCGTCCGACTGGCCTCAGGGTGCGACAGGGGGGAGTTCATCATAAAGAGAAGGAATGGAGGACCTCAGTCTCAGGGTGCCCGGTTCGCTGCAAAAAAAGAACCTTCCAGAGCTCCGATGCCGTGATTTTCTCACAGCGTGGGCCCCCAGAGGTCTCGAGCTTTGCCCAGGCGAACCGTCCTGTGCCGTTTCTTCATCGCATTGGTGCCCTGTGGGCCGGTCGGAGGCTGCCCAAAGCCCGCCGTCGTCATTTTTGCTGCAACGATCAGCAAAGTAACATATTCGGACGGAAACACACAGATTCAAATCAGCGTCGATGTCCGGGCAATATGTGAACAGATGGGATGCGGAGGGAAAGACGACCCTCCAGAAATTTTCTGGAACATATGGCGAATCTTCGGATTTGTGGATCTTTCTTCGTGTGTCCCTGGGCCCCCTTCGCAGGTGCCACCGCCACCGAGATCCCATCGGGGGGTGGGGCGGACGACGCTCGGGCGTGCCCTCGGAGGCGCCTCTTGGGCGAGGGCTCTTCCGGCCCCTGCCCGGGGCGCCGCGTGGTGGGGTGTGGGGGGGGTCGTTCTGCGAGGCGGCGCCGGGCGCTACCCTCGCGGCAGAGGCCTTCTCTCGCGGGTCGCCCCTCCCTCCTCCTTCCTCCCTCCTCCCTCCTTCTCCCTCTCTCCTCCTCGCTCTCCCTTGATCCTTCCTCCTTCCTCCTTCCTCCTCGCTCCTCCCTCCTCGCTCCTCCCTCCTCCCTCTCCTCCCTCCTTATCGCTCCACCCTCAATCCTCCTCCCCCTCCCCCCTCCCTCCCCCCTCCCTCCCTCCCTCCCTCGTCCCTCCTCGCTCCTGGCTCCTCCCTCCATCCGCCTTTTTGGGGTACACCTTGCAGCATTCCGGGATGGCGGCAGGGTGGCACCGCTTGCCATCGCTCTTCGGCCCCCTTCGGGGTCCCATCGAGTCGCTCGGTAACTGGTTTGCTCGTTCTAGATGCTCCAATTGCTCATCCCTCCTCGAAGCGCGACGCCATCACATCCCCAGCCTGGCTTGCAGATCAGAAACTTCGGGCATCCCCGAAGCGAAGAACGAGTGAATCTGCGACGTGCGAGCTGGGCTGCGACAGCAGCCGCGGTCGTTCCTCCCTCGCGCGGGCCCCTCCCTCCCTCGCGGCCAGAAGCCCCCCCTGGGCTCCGACGCCCCCGCCTCCCCCCTCCCTCCTCCTCCCTCCTCCATCCTCCATCCTCGCTCCTCTCTCAATCCTCCTCCCTCCTCCTCCTCCTCCCTCCCTCCCTCCCTCCCTTCGTACCTCCCTTGCCCCTCCTCGCTCCTCGCTCCTCGCTCCCCCCTCTATCCTCCATCCTCGCTCCCCGCACCTCGCTCCTCCCTTGCACGGGCCCCTGCCCTGAGATCCGACGTTGCGAAAGCGTTGCGACATCGCGAAAAATCACCACTGGCGCCCTATAGACCCCGTCTTTCAGCGTCATTCTTCGAGGCGGATCGACCCGTGAAGGGCCCCGGGCGCGAGACCGGGCGAAAACGCCCGGTGTGTGAAAGGATTGCAGCGCCTGGATCTCAGGGTTCGATTCGGGCTCGACCAGACGTGCGAGTGGACCCTTCGCCAGAGTGACCTTTCGATGCGCGCCCGGCGGGGTCCCCCCGATCGCGGAAGGCGAAGCGGTCGCAGCGGCCTGCGCGCCCGGGTCCGGCCACCCCGCGTCCCCCGGGGAGCCGCGCGCCGGGGGGGCACCTCTTTCACGAGGGAGGAAGACCCACCCGGGCCGGACACTCGGCGTTTACCACACGGCCCTGGCCGTTTGCTTTAGCTGTTTTCACCTTTGCTACACACGCCCTGCCCTGCTCGATGCCTTTCTCGGGGGCGCGTTCACGGGACGGCGCCGCGCGGGCGGGGGTGGCCCTTCTGGGGGTGGATGCCTCGCTTTCTGCGCCTGCCTGGGGCCACTCTTGCTGGTAGCCGAGGGGTCCGGAGGAGGAGGAGGAGGAGGAGGAGGAGGAAGAGGAGGAGGAGGAGGAGGAGGAG